ATTTTTATAAAGAAAAAATCCTACAAATAAAACTTTTATTCTGTAAAGGTAGTAAATGTGAAAAGATTACTGCAATGTGGCTGATAGATGGCGCTGACAGCTTTAACTAGATCGGTTATAATAATCTATTATTTTTGCTCAATTGGAAAAAATTCACTTCATTTCCATTATTGATGCTTAATTTCACCTTCAGGCGCCAAATCATCATCTTCATTTTAGTCATTTTAGTGCAAACCAGTGATCAGAGCTAATTATCCGCCAGGGATAACCTCCCAGTAATCAGATTACAGGGATTCTCTCCCTGTAATCAGATTACTGGAGCGCTCCGGTGTGTCCATAAAGTTGTTGCGCGCAGAGCGGAGCTGTCAGACTGCGAAGCGCCGCTGCAGAGCTTCCACCTCCAGCGGAGCCAAACAGACTCACCGGATACATCCTGTCTGTTTTACCTGCTGCTCTTTATTTTTAAACAGCCTGCTGTTGGTCACGTTCCGCCATAAATAAGGCGGCTCCTGCCTGGACTTATCGGGGCAGCAATGGATCAGATGCTCCTCTGTTAGAAGGCTCTTTTCACCCGGAGCTGCTTTTTTACATTTATTTTGATTATTTCTCTGCAAAGAAAAGACAGGACACCACTCCCTGCTTTCCTCCTCCCGGTTCTTCTGGATGCAAATGTCTCCACATCCCAGACGCGCAGCTGGATTGTAGCGGCGGCCCCACCGATGGTTTAAACGGGCGTTGAGGTGCGGGAAGGGAGTGGGACAAAAACAGGTAAGATTTGGAATCAAAGCGCATGAAATGATGGATTCCTGCAAATGCTTTTGGATTAGTGGGAGTTTTCCTGGAGCTGTGATGGACGCTTGGCTTTGCGCGCTGAGGGCGCACAGCCGCGGGCAAAAACAAAGAACCAAACACCTGCTTTTATTCAGAGAGGCAGAAGCTTTGAGTTTTAGTTGCAGTTTCTGAAGGAAAAAGAAATAGAAACTGCAGTTAAATATTGTCTCTGGCTTTCCTGGGTGCAGTTCTCCAAGTTTGCTTTAATCCACTGGACAAACCGCGGCTGCCCTCCTGAGAGGCTCTCTGTGTTTATCCAGCCAGTCAAGCAGAGATCAGCCTGTTTCTGAGAGCAAACAGGTTAAAAAGGCTGCAGCTCCAGAGATCAGGAACATGCAGAGAGAGGCTGGAAAAGTTAGGGATGCTGCTGGAACACCTCAACCAAAAGACTCACTTTTGTTGGATTTTTAAACCTTTAAACTAAATAAAATACAAAATGATTTTAATATTAGTGATAAAAAAGTAAAAAAAAATAGTTATTAGGCCTATATTAATGGTAAATTAAGTGGAAGGAAAAAATGCTGTAGATAAGATTGTGCCTGCAACAAACGGTCTATAACCAGAGCTTCAACCAGAAATGGCAAAAGTACTCACTTTCCGTACTTGAGTAAAAGTACAGATACTTGTGTTAAAAAATACTCTGGTAAAAGTGGAAGTACTGATTAAACTTCTTTACTCAAGTAAAAGTAACAAAGTACAGGCTTGTAAATTTACTTAAAGTCTAAAAGTAAAAGTAGAAACCACTTTTTTCATGCTGTTGCCTACATTTTAAATGGATGTCTGCCAATAGGACTAGATCTCCGTTGTGTTCATTTTCAATCATCTCGTCGTCCATGCTACTATGCTAACGCCACCGCCACCAAGCTGCAATGATTTGCCGCCAATGAATACCGCCGAATCTGTCGATTCATCTTGTAGTGGTGCGTCAAATGCAACGTAGATTCCCATCCAATTAGATTGAATTTGGTATTGATGACGTGAAAAATAATAACGGTAACTCCATTGAAATGATTCAAAACTAAAGTAACGAGCCAATTTTTTAAAATGTAAGGAGTAGAAAGTGCAGATATTTGTGTAAAAATGTAAGGAGTAGAAGTAAAAAGTCGCCATAAAAATAAGTAGTAAAGTAAAGTAAAAATATCTGAAAAATCTACTTGAGTACAGTAACGAAGTATTTGTACTTCGTTACTTCCCATCCCTAGCTTCAACTGATCCAAACAGCAGCTATTAGGGGAACCTGAGCTTCCTGAACACCTGAGCAGGGCCACAGCCCCCCCATGCCCCCCCTGCACTGATGGAGATATTCATACAGATGGGGAACCCGACCAAGTACTGATCAGCAGCTGCAGATTCTCTCCAGCAGAGGCTCCTGAACACTTCAGCCCTACATTTACTTCAGCAACCACATTCCATGGACCCCCCGCGGGGTCATGATGGGTCCCTGCGGGATCCCAATCCCCATGTTGGGAACCTCTACTGTTGGAACCCCAACTACAAATATGTGTCAAAAATTCCTTTATTTTTGTAAATGATCATCCAGACAAAAATGTACCTTTCAATGACATCCTATAGAGATACACCATGATACACTGATAAAAAATGATTGTTATAA